ACAAAGCTCTTGCAGAAGGAGACAAGTAATGCAGACGCCTACCTTGCCAGCTGCATCAGTGCCTTGGGACAGATTATGTTGTTCTGCTGCCCTTGCCCTTTCATCTCGTGCATTTTTTGTGAGTGATTGTTGACTGTTTGTGCAATGCCTGCACTGCCAAGGCCGTGAGTTCAAAGTGCTCCGTCAGCACACTCGTGATCGCCAGCAATGATCCAGCGGATGTCGTGTGTCTGTTTGGGAGACCCTGCTGTCAGTCACTATTGTCCAATGTCTTGATGCCTTGGGCAATGCATTCTGGTGGAAACAGCGCTCTAATTCAGACACAGCATCCTGCTGCTGGATCAGCCCCAACTGAATTTGAATGAACACGAGCACCAAATCGGTTTGCTTTTTTGCGAAAGCCGCTGCAAACCAAACGCTGAGCTGGCCAGTGAAAAAATGTGTGTGTGACCAGTGAGCTCGTGCTTTGCCGTTTGCTAGTGAGTGACTCATTCTTGCCTGCGATTGCTGACCTGGGCACAGCTGGCTTTTTGCTTGCAGGACTGTCTGCGTCATGTTTCTTCAGTGCCAGGCTTAGTCTTTGATGTGCTGGAATGACATGTGAGCACTGTGTGCGGGCTGCAAGTGCAAATTATCACAATCAAAATTGGGTAGATGAAAGTTAGCAAGGGACCAAAAATAGGTGTGGCCGCCTTGTTTCTTCTCATTGATCATGGTTTTGGGTAGACTATTTTTATTCACCAGGGTTTGGTTATGCTCATATGTCACATGTGTCAGAGTGGAGTCATATGTCATGCGCCTGTCTGAGGCCACTCACACCAGCCATGCTGAGCTCTGTTTGACAGGCAAGGCATGTTGGTGAATCCTAGTTGTCACTCAAACAGTATGTCGGTCGAAAGTGTGCTGCAACTGGCAACTGAACCCTTACACCTTTCCCAAGTTTGCATTGAAATTGGAGAACATTTATTTTGCGAATGGGCGTGTTGCAAGCCAGCCATGACCAGTTTAAGCCAGCTGTATCTGTTGCAGCCTCACATCTCTCTAGCTCTCTAGCTGTTGTGCCTTGTTTGTTGCTTATGATGACAGGGATGAAAAAAGAGACAACACTCCTTCACGTGAAAGCTTTGGGAACTGATTTGGCCAAAGTATCCCTCAATTCCCTGAGGATTGAAAACCCAAACCCCTGCAGATTTGTTTTTGAAGTTCTTGAAGCCCCCTTCCCCTCTCACCGAGGATTAAAAAGTTCAACCCCTGAAGCCAGCCCATGTTGCTGTTTGAAGGAGTGAACCACACAAAGCATTTGAGAGGCGTAGGGGGGCTGTCACTAGACAAAAGACTTCCTGACCCTGCAATGTGGCACAGTGTCCAATGTTTAAAAATGGTTTGGGTGTGCTACAAACGACTGTGTGAGTGTGGAGCTCTGACAGGAAGCTCTGACAGGGCGACTCTCATTGACAAAAGGGCTTACTTGGTGAGCAATTTGGGGCCCCAAGCGAGCTCAAAAAATCTCAAAAAATCTCAAAAAATCTCAAAAAATCTCAAAAAATCTCAAAAAATCTCAAAGCATCTCAGACCTGGGAATGCCAGTCAATTTAACTTTAGTATTGGTAATTTCTTGCCGGGCTGGAAAATCTCAAAAAATCTCAAAAAATCTCAAAAAATCTCAAAAAATCTCAAAAAATCTCGGAATACTAAAAATGAAATTGATTTTGCAAGTCTTGGGGGCAAAAAAATCTCAAAATTTCTCAAATTTTCTCAAAATTTCTCAAAAATTCTCAAAAAATCTCAGGAGATTAAACAGGAAATTGATTTTGCATGTTGTGGGAGCCTGAGAAATCGCAAAACTTTCAGAAATATTCTCAGGAGGCGCAGCTAGAGACTGGGGCTGGCTGCTGTGGTGTAAGAGGCCGGTACTTACCAGGGGTGGTGTGTGTTGTGAGTGTGGGCATGTGTGTGTGCAGCTGTGCCCGCTCCCTGCTCAGGCCATGGCTGGCTGGATGTGCAGGACCCAATGAAGGCCCAGGCGCGAGCTTGCCTATGTCTAGAGCGCTTTGCGGCTAGTGACAGATGACATCTGCAGTCTTGTGTGTCTGGATGCTTGGGTCAAGCCATCTTACTTTTGTAGTTTTGTCTTTTGTCCACACAGTCATGGCCAAGAACAAGAAGGGTGCCAAGAAGGGCAGCAAGAGGCAAGCTCCACAGATGATGTGTCCACCATGGATGTTTGCTGGCCCACACCCACCAGCCAACGAGTCCTCCTCATCAGAAGATGAGAACGAGCCTGGTCCTGTGTCAGACCCTGCTGCTGCAGCTTCTGGTGGACCCGGCCAAGGTCAAGTGCACAGTGCGGATGCTCTCACGCCAATCTCAAGGTCCTGCACCTTTCTCAAGCAACTTGGTCGTCCCAAACTGAGTGAGGCATTGGAGCACATCAACCCAGCGCTTGACTCCACGTTGACGGTTGGTCTCACTGGCACAAAGGGCATGTTGCAGATTGTCTATGTTTTTTGTCGCATCAAGCCAACAGCCAAGATCAGCGACTTGAGCCTCTTGGATGATTAGCAAGTTTTCTGCTGTTCTGTTGGCGCTTGTGTATTGATCTGGGCTTGGCGCGCAAACCCAACTCATGTGCTTTGGCTGGTGTCTTGTGTCTTGTGTCTCTTTGTCAGGAGTCTCCACCTACATGGACCTCTTCCAGAAGCTGAAGACTGCACACATGAGGGTCCTCGCAATGACGCAGAACTTTGAGGAGACTGTGGTCAATGCGCTGCCTCTTACCCTTGAGGACAGCTGGGTGGCCAGTCTGGCCGGGACCTACGGGTGGCAGGATGCTTGGATGGAGGCCCAGCCAGCCAAGCGGCGCCGGGAAACTCCACCATCCCAGGATCTCCCCAGTCTTATGTCCGCGTCTAGGCCGGTGCCTCCCTTCACCCCTGCCGCCAGTCCTGCGTCTGCTCCCTTCACCCCAGCTGCTGGTCCTGTGTTTGCTCTGTCAGGAGTCAACACAAGGCCCAGTGCCAGGGCTGCTGGAGCCACTGCCAAGGCTGCAGCTGTGCCGGGACCGGAAGCCCATGCACCCCGTGTTGCTCTTGCGCCGCCTGCTGGTCCTGTTGCGGCACCTGCTGATCCTGCCCCCTTGGCGGCTCCTGACCCTGCACCAGCAGCAGATGCATCTCCAGGTCCTGCGTCTCCTCTACGCCTCCCGCCGCCGGCAGCAGCGGAAGATGATGGTGAACAGCCCATCTGTGTCATCTGTCATGATGTGATGGCCCGCAACACCGAGCAGGAAGCTTTGCACTGCGGGCACACATTTCATCGTGTGTGCATGGAAGAGTGGCGGGCTGTCGCTGGTGTGGCACGGGGCGCTTGCCCATTGTGCCGCCGGAGTGCATCGCCAGGCTGGCACATTGAGGCTGAGGCTCTTGATTCATAGGTCTCTGGTGTCGTTTGTCTATCACATCTCAGCAATGGTGTTCTCGCAATAGGCATGTCTGGTTTGCATATCACTTGCAAGTTACTTTCGAAGGCAAATGACTGGCTGTCACACACCTGTTTTGGAGCAACTTGCATATGACACGTGTCTGATAGGACTGTGGGTAGCATTTGTCAAATTTGATGCCCCTGCTGTGATTCATGGTCATTGAGTTGCTCATTCAAGCTGGTCAGCCACTGTGGGGTCAAGTTATATCTCTGCCCAGCCTGTTTCACACAGCAGTTGGTTTGTCTGTGTGCATGGCAGGTGGGCCTAATCCTCAAGCATTATTGTAGCGTTGCAGTGCTTCGCGCGGGGAAAAAGGTCTGGCAGCCAGAGAGATTGCGCAACTCCCATGTTGACCACTGCCTGCATCGATGGCCAGGTGTGGGCATCAAGAGTTGCCAGCTGCTCAGCTGAGTTGATGCAATGTCATGTATAGCAATTGCTGTGAGCTATGTGTCTCTTCATGCCCTGCTTGGCTCAAGGAAATCAGAAGAGAGGCTAAGTGAAATCATTTTTGCCAGTCTTGTTTTGTAATTGTAAATAGCAAGCAGTGGTTGCAATGGTTGTAATCCAGCTCAGCTTTGTTACTTGGCATTTGGTCAGTCGTGTGTCTGAACAGAAGATGGTGACAGTCAATGTGCCCCAACTGGTCCTGGCAGAGGACCTACAGCTGTTCCCATCACCAGTTGCGTATGATGCGGCAGATGGTGTCTGGTGGGATGTGTCATACTTATATGACAAGTTCAAGGACGCAGGTGGTGAGACAGGCACAGCCTACAAATTCTATGGCCAGATCAAAGAGCTGTGTCCGTCTTGTGTCCAGACCCGATCAAAGGACTCAAGGACAGCTGCCACTTATTTGTGTTGCTCATCATTTTTCAATGAGCTGCTGTTCCTGTTTTTGGCTTGGCTTGCCTGTCAGGACAGATTTGCTCGATGTGAACATAGCCACTACCTCAGCACTTTTCAAGCTCTTCTTTTTTTTCTCTGAGAAAGCCAGGGTCCCAGCCAAATCTGACCTTGCCCTGTCATTTGTCACCCGGGCTGCTGTCACATGTTCTGAGCATCATCGAGCAGCAGGTGGCTTTTCCATTGCTGGCAACGGGATTACTTTGGAAGTTGATTCTTTTGGCTGCGCTGTCAATTTCAAGAGCACCCTCAACAACCGACACTTGGGCCTTGCAGCAGCTTGGGGCTACTGGTGGGGCAAGATGCGCGAAGCTGCCATCCTTACCTCAGACTGGTCTGCTGGTCAGCTGTCATTTGTGGATGTGGCAATATTTCTTGCCAGTGTTGCAAAGTTTAGAAGGAAGCAGAATGCGTCAGTATGGGGGGACAAATCGCAAGAATGCTTGGGCGATCTGCAAGACATGGTCATTTCATATCTCGCCCAGTTTGTGGAGTCATATGCCAAGAATGTTTACCCGTTGCATCACAATGCCTGCGCTGCTGCGCCTTCTCGAAGGCCAGGTGTTGAAAATTCATGACTGAGTCCTGTGCACTTTGACATAGTTAGTTAAACATGCTGCAGCCATGACCAATGTGTAGTTGCCAAGTTGCCAGGAAAAGCTTTGCTCGAGATGATGGCGTAGCTCGAAAGTACGTGGCTATGAACCTTCGGCAAATCTGGGAGTTCACCCAGGAGGCCCAAGAGAAGAACATGTCTTTGCAGACTCTGGCCAAAGCCAAAAGTAAAGATGCAGCATGCGGGATATCTTCTACCTCCACTTACCGCTGGACAGCCAAACTGCTGAAGATGTACCACCAGAGGGTGCAGATGGGGTTCATGCACATTAACCACTTCTGCATTGCCACAGATGGCAGTATCCATTCAACAAAGGACACCCTTGTGTCTTTTGTCTATGCTCCTGAGACCGATGTGGCAGCTGCTGCCCCATCACAGCTCATAAGCCACGCAGGCAAAGTGCTTGTGCCAGGAGAGTTGGACTTGCCTCCTGAGGTGGAGGAACTTGCTGCGCAGAGGGAGGTTGAGCGAGTCCCTGCCTACCGGTTTCTGCAGGCAATATCCAACCAAATCAGTCAAGTCACACAGGGCCGCTTGAACTTGATGGACTTCAGGGTGCCAGAGTCGTTTGTCCCTTGCATTGAGCCCTTGCGGCCTGGAGATAGTCGTCAGGTGTCAGAAGACCAGGATGGCCAAGTCAAGGTTGTTGTCAGGCGTGGTGACATTGAGCATCAGCTGGATTGCAGGCAGGCTCACCAGTGGCCATCTCTGGTTCTGTGCATGGACCAAGGTGCAATTGGTATGGCAGCTGGCGCCTTCCTCATTGGTCACGGCTTTCTGTGTCACATGTCTTTTGACAAGATTCACCGACTGCAGCGGGATCTTGCACTGGCAAGCAGCCGCTGTGGCAAGGACTTCTGTCAAGCCACTATGTTCACCTCCTACCTATGGAGTGTGAATTACAAGCCTTTCAATTCAGGTGGCTTCTCAGACGAGAAGAAGACAATCCTGATGTCGTTCCTGGCGTCTGAGTCTGCAGAGGACCGCTTTCAGCAACACCGTTTTACTTTTTTTTGATTTCCACTTGTGTCCAAAGGTGGTTCTGGTTTCCAGTAAATTAGGCTAGTGTAACAGAATGGTTTTTGCGCTGCTGTGCACAAGGACTGTCATGTGTTCAAAAAGTATGTGTCTCGCATTGCCTTGGACATGGACCTCCCCTGCCAGTCCTGGGAGGACGAATCATACATCTGGGAATGTCTTTCGTCTTTGCCAAGCTTCACCAAGAAAGGCAGTCTGCCAAAACAAAGCAGATGGTTCAGTTGGCACGATTCTGCAGAATGTCATTTGTCAGAATTCTGGGCTTCGCGAATGCTGTATGAATGGTACTTCCAGGATGATGAGCTGCCAGACCCAGATGAGATCTCCAAAGCCTTTAAGGACTTGCGTTCTGAGAAGGGTGGGCTGCGCCTGGCGTACCTTTGTACCTCCCAGGCCACTTGGGAGAACGCTCATGTCATCCTGTCATGCTCTCGCCCTTGCTGGACCTGGCACAGCGAGCAGATCACGAAGATCAAGTCGCCCTCTGACAATCTGCGGTATCTTCGTCCTTTGTCTCTGACCTGGAAGGCCCACTGGCATCTTCAAGAAATTGCCAAAATGATTGGCAAGTGTGATGATGCAGGCCTGACCAAGGCGGCAGCAGCAACGGAGGACTCTGCGAGGCTTGCTGCAAAGGTCTTCCAGTACAGCTCCAACCTGCTGTCCCAGCGCTGCCTGTCCTTCTCCAGGTACTCTTGCCCACCAGTGTCTTATTGTCACGTGTTGTCCGAGCCAGCTCTGGCTCAAGTTGCTGTTCGGCAGTTCAAGCAGGACCTTGACCTCATCCACGTGGCAGAGAAATCGAGGGAGGGCAAAGCTCAGGCGCTTGCAGCAGATATGAGGCTTACCTTTACGACCCTTGTCCGTGTCTGCGCCTTGACCTTTGAGCAGGACAAATGGTCAGCTGAGTCCCGCCAAGGTCGCTTCTTCTTGAGGCAACTTCTGCGGTCATTTGCTGACAACAAGATTGTTGAAGACTGTCATCAAAGCATCCGTGTTGACGCCAAGGCAAATGCCAACTGTCGCCAGCGACCATCAAGCATTCAGTCAATTGTCACCAACTGTCAAGCGCTAGAGCAGCGAGACATCCCGCACCGAGCAAAATTGACACAAGATGTCTTTTGTCAGAAATGGAAAAACATCCCTCTGGATGGATCTTTGAAGAAGATGTTCCTGCCCAGGAAGCACAAGATGCACAAGCTCTTTGGCAAGATCATGGGGGTTCGGTCATGGCCTGCTCTGTCAGAGAATTCACTTGCCCGCTCAGCTGCGGCATGGTGTTGGGCTAGGTCGTACTTTGGAGAAGGCCTTGTCCGACAAGGACAAGTTCAGCTGAAGGACTGGGGCAGCAGCCAACTTGTCTCAATGTCAACAAAAGGATGGTGTGTTGTGTGTAGCTGGCAATTTGATTCATGATTATATGTTTTTGGTCTTTCTGGTCTCAGAGTGCTTCGCATGATCAAACAAGAGCCTGCCCCCAGGACGGTGAGACCAGTGTGGTTGCTGTGACTGGAATGGTGATTTGTCATGTGAGTGACAGCAATCCGCTGCTGTGCCTTGGCAACGCGCACTGGGCAGCCATGGTGTGGCCATTGCAAGCTCAGGAGGACTGGGCTTGCATTGCGCCCGCACCTGCTGGCCAATGTCGTTTTGTCCACATTTGCAAGTGCAAAGATTGGAACGTCATTCCTGTCAACGCGGTGTGGAGCCATGGCCGGGCAATGTTGCAGCGCACTGAAGTAAAGGAGCCGTTGGGGCAGTACTTGTTGCTCAACAAGCAGTCCTCCCTGACTGTTGCTGAGCTTTGCATCCTGGCTGACAGTGAAGGTGTGGAGAGGCGAGCGCTCCCAAGCCGCTTGGAGATTCTCACCAGCCTGGCCCACCATTTTGCCAACGGCGATGAGTCTTATGTTTCATCTGTCATGGCAGCTGTGACAGCGAAGGTGTCAGTGGATGATGATGAAGAGGAAGATGCCACTCAGGCACTTGTTGCTGAGCTGTTTGAAATGACGGATGCCAGCGAAAGGCAGGAGCACAAGAGCTTGCGAGAGAGCATGCTCAAAAAGAAGGTTCGCAAGAAGAGGCAGCAATGGCAGAAGGCGCTGGAGGAGAAGATCCGTTTGAAGCGGAGGAAGCTCGTTGCTTAGTCTCTTTGCTTTTGTATTTACATTATAATGTGTTCAGCATATTTGATGGCCAGACTCAGTTCCTGTCAGTCAAAGGAAGAGAGCAGATGCTAAAGCAGCAAAGGCCAAGGGCAAGGCCAAGCCCAAGGCCTCTAGCTTGAAGCGCAAAGCTCCTGCTGGGGCAGAAAGCAATGATGAGACACCAGCGCCCAGCGCCAAGACAGAAGACAAAAAGGCAGAGGACACATCAGCAACAGTGTGTGCGCCAGGGGCAGCATCAGGGTCAGCTGAGGGACATATGACTGGAGGGGCGGCCGCGTCATCTTTGTCATCTTTGTCATCTTTGTCAGCCCCACAGCCGCCGCAGGCAGAGCCAGCAGTTCGTGGTGGTGGTCCAAGAGTCTATTCTAGCCCACATGAAATCTTGTGTCAAATCCAGCCACCCAATAGCAAGATGGGCATCAACTACAATGATCACAGGTTCTGGGTGAAATTCAATGAGGGCATTGAATGTGTTCGCTGGACAGGAGAGTACAAACAAAAAACCTGGTCCCGCTCCTTCATCAGCCGCGAATGGCAGCTGTGTTTGTCCATGGTACACAGACATGCCTGGGAGAAGCATCGACTCCTAGCAGGGAATAACTCAGGCCAAGTCCCTGGAGATGTCCCATCAGACATTGTGGAAAGCCTTGCGCCAATTATAGCTCGAATGCCAAAGCCAAAGCCCAAGTCCAAAGCTTGACTGGGGTGAGCTCCGTGGCCGTGATGGGAAAAGCTTGCTCTGACAGTCTCATGTGCCTGGTGACTAACATGCGCTGCCGCAGTGAATGAAAATGCCCTCATCATCATCTGCTCAAGCAGGCGGCTGATTGTCAGTGCTGGCCCTCTAAGTTCAAGCCATGATGTCGTCTGAGTCTGCTCCCATTGGTGACAGCGAGGAGGAGCTGTCCAAGGCGGTGGCAGAAGCTTCTCACAAGAAGCTTTGGGACTTCTTGCCGCAGTCCATCTTCAGGCTGGGCAAGTGTTCTAGACGATTTGTTATTGGATGGCCACTCTTGTGACGTGCATCACAGGTCCCAGCTTCAGCTAATTAATTGTGATTGGTAGTCCTTCCCGCTTCACTGCTATTGTGCGACATTTTGACTCGATCGACAGACTGTGTTGCTGATTGCTTGCCTGACCGACCAAGGCAGGGCCTGGCTCATCATGGAGCTGTACATCATGCACGAGAGCAAGTGACCTTGTGGCTGCAGTACGATGCTGTGAACAACAACAGTCGGGCTGCAAGCCTTTGGTCATCTGTCCTCTTGAAGTGCTACCCGTGGTTTGCTGGCCATAGCCTCCGCTTCATGCTGGTCTCACTCCTGCTGCGGGGCCTGTTCAACCAAAGCAACTACCATGGGCTTGACTTCATAGAGTTCAGCTCTGGGCGTGGCAACCTGAGCTGCGAGCTTCTGCGCCAGGGCCTGGTTGGGGCAGCCTTTGACATTGCCAATGAGGATTGCCACGACTGCCTCACCAGCCAGGGCTTGCGCCTTTGGCTTGATGCCTTGACTGCTACAGGCAGGGCGGCGTTGACATGGTGGGGCACAGAATGTTCGTCATTTGTCATTCTGTGTAAGTGCCAAAGCTGTAGGGAAGTCTCCAACGACTTCCTTGGAGACGAGTCAAGGCCATTTGTCCGGCGTGGCAACTGCCTCATGGAGATTACCGCCTTGCTGATGCTTTTGTCATTTTGGCTTGGCAACGTTTGTGTTCTTGAGCAGCCGCTCAACTCTGTCATGCCTCATTGTCACATGTGCTGGCGTTCATACAAGCCAACAAGTATGTGACCTACATTGGGGCATTTGGCGGTGAGACCACAAAGCCTTTGCAGATCTGGAGCAGTCACAGCTTCCTGCGCTCAATTGTGCGCTCCAGGCCTGAGTCTACTGGTCTGTGTCTTGCCACACGTGATGGCCATGGCCGATTTACAGGTGTCAAAGGATTGCTGCAAGACAGCAGTGCCTACACCTGCCAGTTTGGGGCTGCAGTTGCTTGTGCGTTTCTGCGCAGCCGCACCCATGGCTAGTAAATTCTGTCATGTGTACAGGTTGGTTAGGTGCAACGAATGATGCCGAGTCATTCATTGTGTTGCAGCCAGGGGGACGGGGAACAAAAGACAAGCGGCAGCAGGGTCACATGACTACAGCTTGTTGCAGCTATAATGTGTTTCTTGCGTGTGACAGTTTAGACCAGCGCTGACCGAGGTCTACTGCGGCACCCAATGTGTGCTGGCCTTATTGTCATAGCCGTCACTATTCAGAGAGTTGTGTGCAATGTGTTTGTGATGGTTTTGCTGCTGGCCCAGGCTGACAGTGGATGCTGCAGACCTTGTGGGATGACTCCTGCATGGCCTTGGCCAGTGTGTGCAACTGTCTGTTGGCTATGAGCCATGTCATTGTTGTCATGTGTCATGTTAAAGTAGCTATCTCACACAGGGCCTAATTCTTAGAGCATAACACCTACATTGAGCAAGCAATATGCAACAATCACTATGGAAGTCCACTACTTTAGGAGTGCTGGGCCGGCCTCAGCCCTCAAAAATTATGTGAAACCACCAGAAAAGTGACAATTATGAAACCCTCTCATAGACTAAAGTGTATTCATGTGTGCACGCAATATTTTTCAAAGGTCATGGATCTAAACCCCATGGATCCAGCCACCAACATGCAGTTACTGAATCATTGTCCCTTGAGTATGAGCATTGGACCGATACCACTAAAGAAGAGGCTTTTCGTGAAGCGCTCAAATGCATTTCTTCCAGTCCAAAGGTGCTCTCAGTTGACCATGTTTTTGTCTTTGCCGCCACGCCCAGCTCCATCAGAGGTAAACTTCCTAATAACTTTTGGATCCTCACTACGCACGCCCAGGATGTGAGTTTTGCCATTAAGTACCGACAACAAAATCCCTGTTGTCTGGCTATCGTTCTTGGCAAACACTTCGGGCCCCTGATTAAACTTGTAAATGCACACATTCCCACATTCTGCCTCCAACACTATAGCAATCACTCAGCTGCGCCAGTTCTCGCAAGGGGAATTTCTGAGTACTACCCTCATCTCACCAAGCGTATCAGACATGCTTGCCACGTTGGCCTGGTAAAAGTTGGTAAGAGGACGCATCATACGGTTGCCTTCGGATTTCAACAGACATTGGATGAGCGTATTCGTATTGGGAATCTCTCTCGCGATTGGAACCTAGTCACTGCGATTCCTAAGACATTTGATACCTCATCTCTTGATCTCTGTTTGCCCATTCGTAATGGCTTTAATGCTGATACAAACAATCCCTTCGCTCTCCAAATCTATGGAGATAGACGAAATTCCAACGTTGTCAGCTACCTTAGCCACGGCAGCCATGCATGCCAGAGTGATACCAATGCGTGGGTTGATCAACTCGCCAGTACTCTTTCCGACACCAATGCAGCCTGCGCTGTCAGTCTTCACCACCAGGCGTATCTTGGCAGTGACCACAATGAGCTTATGCAGGATCTAGTTATCTTTGTTGCTCAAAAACATGACAACCAGCTTCAGGGGATATATGAATTTCTGCGTGAACAAGGCTTTGCTGCTGCGCCATTTTTCGGATACCTTGCTGCACAAATTTTACCTGAATCATTTGAGTCGCTAAGATTGCTTGCCAGTGAGCATGGGGTATTCTTTCCCAGTAATTGCCAAGACGGAGTATATCGCCTTTTGTTCTCTGAACATTATGCACAACTTACTCATCCTGGCTACCATGAGCCTACGCCGGCCTACCTCTACACCAGCTTCACCAGCTTGGAATGGTTATGTACTTACACAGGTGGCCGGCGTTATCGTACCGTTACTGTGCAAGATGCATCCTCACAGCATCACTACACAGCATTATGGTTTGATGTCCCACGTGCATATGCTGAAGACTTACTTGCCAAGGGACCTCATCAGGTCGATATTAACGGCTCTGGAGGCACCCTCCGCTGGCCTCAATCGCTCAGTGACCTCGGAATGCGAAAAACCAAGCGCAGCACGCTTGAGACTCCCACTGGACATTGGGAACGATTCAGGCAACTTGATGGCTCTATCTCTGGGTCACGAATGCCTGTCGTTGTGGTTCCCGATCCCGAGAACATCTCCCAGTTTCAGAGGCTGTGTCTCAATGCTCGATGTGTCAACCTACGTGGTACTCATCGCATTAATGTTCAAGCTCTCCTCCTTGAATCTCCATGTCAAGTCCTTGCGCCCCCTATGACACAGAAATGCGCTGGACACGACGCACACTGTAGTCAGTTGACGATATCCTCCCTGACCAGCTAATAATGTGCCGCATTTCGGTTGAAGGGTCTGATCGCGTTGCTCTCTTTCATGACTCATCCACCGTTCACATTGGTTGGCATCAAGGTGGTATGCTCTATGTCTATGGCAGTATTGGTCTAATTCAGGAATTGCTTCCTGCCTTCGCAACGCAGGATATTGACATCACCTTCCTTGAAAACAAAATCAACTCGGAATGTGTACCTGCTGCTAACGACAGCGCACCGGCCCGCCTCCTCGACGACATTGTCACACTTGATACCGCTATTCCAGCTCTTGATGTCCCATGCAATCGAGGGAAAGAGCAGCTTGACCTGCGAACGCTGTATGTCGCCCTTCGCATCCTTGCTTTCGGCGCTTGGCGGCTCACTGACAGCAGTGATCATCCTAGGCAAGTCCTTCTCGAGGCTGTTGCTGCTGAGGTTGCTGTTGGCTACTGTGATGCATCGCTCACTCCAAAAGTTGTAGCTGAAGCCACTCATAGTATCCCCCACCTCGCTGACCAAAGTGTGTTTGACATGCTCGTTACCCTTATTTCACTCCTTCCGTTAGGGTATGCGCGCCAACTCACTGGCCTCGGGATTGGCAAACAGCGCATTTATCCAAAGAGAGCCCCTGTGAATCCGCTCGTTGACACTTCCTGGCTCGGCCTGCCTGATCCCCCGGGTGAACGGCTCACGCATCCGCTCA